CATCTAGCATGTGCTGGTTTAGATAATGACGATGATGAAAGCATTCTCGTCTGAGAATTTTGCCAATGATATTAGCTACACTATGAGGCACCCCTTTGTGCCCGGGGGGTTGGACAGAAAGGGAAATTTCCCTTTATTTTTTTATTGCACATTTTTCTCAGAAACGTTTATTTTTTATAGCTTTAGCTATATTTTCCTTGCAAAGAAATAAATAAATAAACAGCTATATTTTCCTTCAAAAAAAATAAATAAATAAACATAAGATTTGTCAAATGATGGTGTAGTTTCATTAAATATCGCACAAATTACTATCAAACTTAGGTACCCCGTTCCACCCCGGGTTCCACTACTTGTCACTTGTCACCGGTCTCTGTAAACTTTACACTTGTACTTGTAAAATAATAGAATGTATTTCTGTTCTAATTAAATATAATAATAGTGTCATTATTATTAACCTGCGCAAACAAAAATCTCTGTACCTACATAAACATCAAATCAGTGATTTCTCTTCAAAAATTAAATGGTTACAATGAAAAAATCAGACAATTAAATGGGCAAAATATACGTCAAGATTTTTCTTATTTTGTCAAGAATGAAATTTTACAAATATTTATTTTTGCATGTTTAAGAACGACTTGTTAGAGTTGACAATACTCACAATAACCTAGTGCTAGTGCTCATTATTTTTATAGACACCTGTAGAAGAACGATTCTATTATTTCTCCCAAAATTAACCTTCGCGTTTTATTTTCGAACACTTCGTAAATAATAATCCATAAAAGAGTATGCCGTCCTACGGCGCGTACCATTCCAATTCCCATTCAGTCTGGCTAATAAACCATTTTAGTCAATATTTGAACAGTACAATATGCTTCACCCCGTCATGGCAGTTTTATCCATATGAAATTAGATACCCAGATCAATACGCGCTCCTCAACTCCGTTCCGTTGTAAAAAATCGTTATTTCGGATCGGGTTACTTGGTTTAGGATAATTAACTTTTCTGGAATTAATCATTGAGTCGTTTGGATTACTTGGCCGTTTTTATTTTTAAAAAAACTATATCAGATATCCGAGTGGATTGTTCAAATACAAAGAAATTTATGCAAGAATTTTATATGAGTGATACGAGGCTTATACGTGTATTTTGAAAGTGACAGTAAATAACTAAAATAAGTTTACTACACTCTGGACCAAAATTAACTTGCCACCTTAAAAATGGGTAATTTTTGACGTCTTATATCTCCTAAACCTGTTGTCCGATTTAAGTGATTTTTTACTATGTTATAGCCTTATTCCTTGACAATATCGTTATAATAATATGGTTGCTAAACAGGTAAATTTTCATTACATACCGGGTGTACGAATTAAACTGTTTTTTTTTCTTAAAGTTTGCATCACCGTGTGGAATATTCTAGCATTTGTAGAATACTAAAATTAAATCGTAACTATAGCCTCATATTTTCTCAACATTTTGTTTTTTGATTTATTCGCTTATGTTGGATAATACAAAAGTTAGGAAGTTTAACAACTAGCCTTATTTTTCATCAATATTCGCTCCGTGCGTGACTGACGGGACACCTACCGCCTTCAACTGACAATTTTGGAGTCCCAATTTTCAGGTTAAATATACGACATATGTTTGACATTGTTAAATACATGCGACATTGACAATTATTAATAAATTAGTTTTTAACTATATTTTTTCAGTTTATGTACAAAATAAATGTAATATTAAAAACTAGGTTTCTCAAAATTCATCATAATATATCTTTTCAACTCCAAACGGAAAAGAAAGAGAAAAATCTAGTACTGGCAAATCAAGTTTTTCACGCAAAAGAGCATATAATTAAAAACAGTAATAGTAAAAGTTATGATATAAAAGCTAAAGTCATCTGCAGTTAGCTTGAAGCCTTATGAAATATCATTCAAGGTAAATTATTTAAATTTTTCCTATTTCAATTGCATAAAAATGAAATTATGTCATATTTACTTTTTCATATTAATAGCACGAATTCATCTTTTTCTTTTCTCTAATTTATATGTAATCTTTGGGAACCTATAAAAATTACACTCACTGTTTTTGCTATTTCTACACATTTTTGATAAAATTTATGCGTAAAAATATTTTGTCCAATATTCCAATTTTGTCATATTTCGCCGCTACGCACGCTGGCATCGTTTCAATGTACCCCTACCATGGTCAAGCACGGAGCGAATAGACAATTTAACTCACCAGCAAAATTAACCCCACCACCTTTATTATTGTTTTGTTTACATTACCTGTGACAGTTTGTTTCCTAAATTTGTGTCATCCAAAAAGTTTTGACATTACAGTCGTTGTACGACATTGTTGCAAATCTGTTTCCGTGTTGATAACAATTCTTGAACGATTTGTAATTAAAATTAACAATTAAAATTGTAATTTTTTATTGTGAGCGAATATTGTTTAAGTTGAAATTTTAGTGCTTATTTATTGTTTGTAATTTTAAAAATGCCACTCGTTCTAACTGATGCTGCTAGGGCAGTGGCTTTAGTTGATGCTAGTTACAGTCAACGTCATATCGCTAGTATACTCGATGTATCCAGAACTACGGTACAATATGGCATCAGACGATTTCGGGAGACAGGATCGTACAACCGCAGGCTAGGTGAACGCCGAAAACGATGCACTTCAGTATGAGATGACCGCTTCATTGTCACTAAAGTATTGAGAAATCGCTTTTGTACCGCTCCTGAAGCTCATAGGTCTCTTCTTGAGGTGAGAAACGTTAGTGTAAGTATGCAAACGATTAGAAGAAGACTGTCAGAAATAAACTTGAGGATTTCTCGTCCAGCTCGCGCATTACAACTGCTCCCACAAAACCGTAGGGCTAGACTTCATTTTGCGCGAGAATATGCTAACTTTACTATGGCGGAATGGAAGAATATACTGTTCTCAGATAAGAGCAGAATAGTCCTAAAAGGTCCAGATGGACGCCAACGTGTCTATAGGCATCAACATGAAAGGTTTGCCACATGCGCTATAACCGAAACAGAGGCTTACCGAGGAGGGTCAATAATGATTTGGGGAGGTATTTCTTACGAAGCGCGTACTGATCTTGTTATGTTCGGTAGAGGTAGTGTGAATGCCCAAATATACGTGCAAGGAGTTCTCCAAGACCATTCCATGCCTTTTACACCATTCATTGGTGATAACTTCAGACTAATGCATGACAATGCACGTTGCCATACAGCCAGATCTACCTGTGAGTACCTTAATGAGGTCAGGATTCAAGTTCTACCATCGCCAGCACACAGTCCCGATCTTAACCCAATTGAGCATATCTGGGACAACCTTAAAAGATGGATAAGAGCAAGAGTACCAGCCCCTGCATCCTTTGAAGAGCTAAAGACAGCTACGGTAGAGGGATGGCAAAATATCCGCTAATCTTACATCCAGGATATCATGAATGGACTGCCAAACCGGCTCTAAAAAGTCCTAAGGACTAGAGGCGGCAACACCCATTATTGATACCCAATTCTTTTGAATTAGACTTTGATTTCCAATATACTGATAATTTTAATTTTCTTCGGAGATTTTATTCATTGGATGTTTACTGTAACAAATGACTTTTTTTCAAAAAGGTTATTTTTTCTCTTCCGCGGGGATAACAGTTGATAAAAAACATGTCTAGTTGTTAAAGCACCTAACTTTTGTATTATCCAACATAAGCGAACTATCAAAAAACAAAATGTTGAGAAAGCATGAGGCCATAGTTACGATTTAATTTCAGTATTCTACAAATGCTAGAATATTCCACAAAGTGATGCAAACTTTAAGAAAAAAACACAGTTTGATTCGTACACCCGGTATACAATAAAAATTTACCTGTTTAGCAACAATATTATTATAAAGATAAAGTTAAGGAATAAGGCTACAACATACCTATTAAAAAAATCACTTAAATCGGACAACAGGTTTAGGAGATATAAGAAATCAAAAGGTGGCCGGTTAATTTTGGCCCATAGTGTATTTCAAAAATTATAAGTAATGAATTAGTCACACAGTAAAATAGGTCACATTAGTAAAATAGGTCACATTAGTAAAATAGGTCACATTAGTAAAATAAGTCACACAGTTTTGCGTGAGTTTTAAACATTTCGTAGCACGTTGTTTACAATTGGGATAGGTCGCGGTTTGAGGCCCCACACAAGGTCTAAGGTCGGTTTATACTTACAAGAGTTTGGAAAATATATTTCAAAACAAGAACACATATTAAACAGAAAAACATTTGTGGCAAAGTTACGGTAAGCAATTCAGTGGATGTTCTGCAATGAGTCATATATTCTTCTGAACCTCTAAAAATTATAGGAACAAGCTACATTTTGCTAAGCATGTCAATTTTAGTACCCCAAAAAAGACACAGAAAAGTTACCACGTTTTCCACCACGACCGATCAATGAAATTGATACATTCTGTTCATCTCACGAGAATCGTAAAAAACACGTTTAAAAACGAGACAACTTTGGAAAAAATCCACCTGAAGACCAGTTTAGAAATAATTGGTTTACTTACAACAACAATACTACTAAAGTATACAGATTCACCTGTTTTCCTGTATTCCTGAAAACAAAAAGTTTTCCTTCTTCTAGAGAAAAAGTCTATTCTACAAGTGATGATAAATATTTTTGTTCAACATTATTGCACCTACATTTTTTGTTTGAAATATTTTTTCTACAGCGTACAGATTTTTGGTAAATCGATTCTTTGCCGTTTTTTCTTCTCTACGAGGTGTGGTTTTAGGACGAATTCCGGAGATAGGAGTGGCGAATTTTTTTGCAACTTTTTGGGGTTACACAATTGACATTATTATCAAAATCCATCTAATTGTTTTGTTTTTAGAGATTAAATCTCTGCTCACTGGACTATTTGTAAAAAAATTAGTAAAACTGACTGTATATTTGTTTGAAATAAACTAAAAAGCATACGCATGCAAAATATGAAATTTCGTTCCGAACCTGCATGTATGCAGCATGCACGCCGGGCGTTGGGGTAGGTGGAGGCGGTAGGGGTGAATCCTGGTGCATTTTTGCGGCCGGGTAAACCGAGGATGGTGCAGCCGCCTCCATGGACGGCGGCATGAACTGCTCGCTTCCACTACGGCTGATTCTGCCCGACGTGGACGACATCGCCGTCGAAAAGCAAGGAGCATCCAGGCCGGGACCGCGCATACCCTGACCCAGAGGCGACTGCAACAAAAAATTCAATCGTTTATTTACTCCTATAATTACCAAATTTTTACAAAAATATACAAAAATACTTTAGAAAATATAATATAGAATAAAAATTGACCCTAACAGAATAATACAGTAACAAAATCCTCTGAAGTTTTTCTTTATTTACAAAACTGATCTGTTATTTTATATGAATAACAGAACCACCGAATTATCGAAGTCTTTAAGGCCTGACCAATTGTATTTTATGCTATATTTGACGTATGTCATTGTGCTCACATTATTTTTGTAAATATAAACGAATCGCTTATTTCAGAAACAAACCAAGTCAAATTTTGGCGATTTTGAGTTTGTAACACCAACATGTATTTCTGTTAGTTACACACAAATTATTGCAGAATTGCAGAAAGTCTCGTCAGTATAGTTGATTTTATATCGATTTAAAATATTTATATATTTCTAAAACCACCTAGTCCCGGACTAAGGTTGTTTCTGCACTAAATTGTCAGTTGTCAGTTGTCATTTTGAATATTCACGTTTGCTGTAACCTATAAAATTCGTAGTGTTTCTATTGTTTGTTTTTATTGCTGCTTACAAAAAGTTGTCTGTATGTTGGAAGAAAAACGTTCATATTTTAATATTATTATGAACAACGATCAACCAACCACCAGTGCTGAACACGCTAAGGAAGAAGACCCTGCTATTAAAAGGCGTAAGGGAATTAGGATATCGAATAAATATCAGCGTAATGTTATCAGAAGCTCTAGAAATAAAGGGCAAATATATATTAGCAACAAAAATAAGGCCATGGACGCAAAGCAAATAGGACCTCAGCGCAAGTAAGACCATCAAAATATAATATTTTTGAGTTTGTAAAATACATTTTTTAAGTGTCTACGCAAATGTTTTGAAAAAGTAAACGAAGATCAAACGAACATTGTTTTTGGTAAATTTTACGGTATAACAACAAGCAACGAACAGGAGATATATCTACAAGGAATAATAGAAGTAATGGAGGTGTCTAGAAGAAAGAAGAAAAGGTAATGAAAGAGGTAAAGATAGGATAAGAAGTTACAAGCACTTTGTTAATGTTGATCAGACTAAAAAAAAAGATACGCGAAGGTGCTTCTTTAAGTATTTACGCCATTGGAATAGAAAGACTAAAGAGAATTAAAAGACTTGTGGTATGTGGTGTGATACCTACAGATAAGAGGAGAAAAAATATAAAAGGGAACATTATTAATGGTGGAACTAGGGAACTTATCCGTAGCCACATCTGATAAGATATTTAAGTACTTATATGCGAAACTTAATATAAAAATAATAGACAAATTATTTATTAAAAAGTATCCTGAGAGTACAGTAAAATACAGTTACTGCAATACATTTTTTCATGAAAATTTGAACCTACATTTTGGTAGGCCACAAATTGACACATGCAATGTCTGTGAGGAGTTTAATTTAGAAATTAAGAGCTCTAGTCTTGGTGAAGGAGCAAAAAAGTAGCATTTGCCGAAAAGTCCTACACTGCTGCCAAAGTAAAAAATTTTACACTGCCCTAGCGCTTAACTACCCACTGCACCTTATGATTTTATGCAGAACCTTCAACTTCCTGCAATTCCTGTACAAGACCTATTTTATCTGTCGCAGCTTACCGTTAATGTTTTTTGCATCACCAATATTAAGTCATGAAAATCCGTCCTTTATATTTATCACAAAGCAGAAGCCACGAAAAAGCCTGAATGAAGTATGCAACTTTTTATTAGATTATATTGAAAAATATATTGCAACAGATGTAAAAGATCTACGTCTGTTTTCTGACAACTGCCCAGGTCAAAACAAAAACCACTGCGTTACAAGAATGTGTTTAGCTTTAACCGATACAGGTAGATTTAAAAAAATTCAACAATTTTTCCAACTTTGAGGGCACTTATTTCTTCCCTATTCCATAGGACTGTGTTTTTGGGGTTAATAAAAGAAACCTCAAAAAGTTTGATCGAGTTTGATCCATCAGTCCACGGATATTATTGTTACCGCAAGTGCCCAAAACCTATTTAGTCTGTGAAATTAAAAGGGAAAGTATTACAAATTTTAAAGACTGGTGGCATAGGTATTATAAGTCTGCATGTGCGTCGACGGAGACACAGAAGTTAACAAGGGACCAACGAATTTCGTTCTCAATTTCAAAATTGCATCATTTTGTCTACAGCGTTGATGCTCCCGGCAGTCTTCGAGCTAGTGGATACATTAATGGTGCGATATGGATCACCTTTAACATTTCCATTCCAAAAACAAGCAATGTCACAGTTAAAATGCCAACTCAAAAGACGTATAAAGACCCAATTCTAATACTAGAGGACAAAAAACAAAATTTGACCACACTGCTTCAATGGGTGGAGGAACACTTCAAACCGTTTTAAGAAAATATTATTCAAACATCAGCAAATAAGAAAAAATACAAGAAAGTCACAAAATAAACTGTATGATATTAAAATTATTTAGTAATAAATACTTATGTTTTTAAAACTTACATTTCATTACTGAAACCACCTTAAAGTCCATTTTCAAAATGTGTATTTACAGAGTTTAGTAACGATTCAAAATTTATAAACAATTTACTGTTTGTATTTTGAGAACGATTTCCGAAGTGGAAATTGAAACGTCAATAAACGTATTTTTATCTTTAATTGTGGCTTATTCCCAGTTTAACAGTAACTAATGACATATGGCTTTATATATTGCAAAAAGTTCTCCCATTAAAATAGTATTAGTCTCCGCTAGTCCATAAGTAGATGTATGGCGTTCCTTCTGGACCAGGAAATGACGTCACACGTCAATCGTCAAGCGTCGTATCCTCATGTATCAAAGCCACGCCCCCCTCGTGACGTCACTTCCTGGTCCAGAAGGAACTCTATACATCTACTTCCATATTTCTTTATTTCATCCTCTGTTACAAAAGCATAATGCCCTATTTTAGATCCATCTATGAATAACTGTTTGAAGGATGAAAATTGAGAAATTAAGGTTTGATACTTAGAGTTAATTAGATGACGATTGCTTTCATTTTTATTTTCTGATAATAGATCCAAATTTATGTGAGGAGAAGATATTAGCCAAGGAGGGGAAGTTGGCATCTTGCTAGGATAGATTTCGGGGACTTTAAGGTTTAATTGATTTATAATTCGTCTGCATCTTTCGTAAAAGGGAATGTGGATTTTTGCGTGCTGGATATTCGAGCAGCGAATGGTTTGGTGAAATTGTAAAGCGTTATGCTTCCATGTATATGAGAACATTAATTGGTGTCTTCTTAAATCTAATGGTAGTTCATCGAGTTCGGCCTGAAGACTTCAGATAGGGGTTGTTCTAAATGCACCGCTTATTATTCTAAGAGCGTTATTTTGAATGGTGTCTAAAACTATTAGAGTTGTTGTTGAAGCAGAGGAATAAGCGTGGCATCCATAATCGATCTTGGAGCGGATCAGATTTTTATTATAATATGAGTAGAGTTCTACCGTCCGCTCCCCAGTTCGTTCCAGAAAGACATTTCAAGAGGTTTAGTATTTTTTGACATATAGCTGATATGTATTTGATCTGGTACTTCCAGGTTAGAGCTTGATCAAATATTAAACCTAGATATTTAATTGTATTTACATATTCAAGGGTCTGACCCCCAAGTTTTAAAGTAGGTATTTCTTTTATCTGTTTTGGTCTCTTTGAAAATATGACACAGCGAGTTTTAGATAAAGCAAATGAAAACCACTGCTTTTAGACCATGCGATAAATTTATCGAGTTCATCTTTGTCCATACTCTGTATATTGTTTCCATTTAAAAAGATTATAAGATGATCCGCGTACAATCTCGCTTGAATGGGTTTGTTCATTGATTTGATTATATCATTAATAGCTATAAGGCTATTGTTACCAATTAAATAAGGGAAAGCTAGGGAAAAGCTAATTGTTGCTAATAAAAATGGAGTGAGCCAATTGTTGCAAATGAGAAAGCGAAAAACCTGAAATGGTGAAGCAAATATTAGAAATTATGTAAGATTTATGATTAAATAAAATTTAAATTTTTTTTAAAACAAATATAAAAGAAAATATAAAATTTACTGGAAGAACTATAATAGAATAGGCTCAGCTCAAGAGAATGAGGGTTGTGCTCAGAGAGGAGGTTGGCACATTTGCTTGCCTGTAGTAACTAAAAGTTCAATCAGATCAATTCTAAGATGATCTTCAGATGGGCGCCAGGGTGGATTTAGAATATCACTCTAATTTGGGATATATGTAATTATATACTAACTGAAAATAAAAGATGATAGGAAACAAATAAAAATCTGAAATGCTTTATACACTATATATTATACTCTTACTGTGATATCCCAACCCTATATTTATATACACTAAATAATTATTAAAATATATTCCCAAAAATATATATTTACAAAAGAACAGTTACTAAAAATATGACCCCAAAAAATATATATATCTACAAAAGTTTGATCTAACAGTCCTCTAACAATGAGGAAAAAGGTAAGTTAATAATATTTAAATAACTCACATGAAATAAATGGTAATTAAAATACTTATAAAATAATTAAATCCTTATACAATTACAAAGGGCAGGTTAAAAAAATCTGAGACTAGTCAGTTAAGATACCTGAACAATACATACATCAATCTGATGTATAAAGGTACATGCAGATTACCATAAAATTGGATAATATATCCTGACACCTTAATATAAGTGTTCTATAAAAATATTAATAAAGAAATGCAAACTAAATATGAATGAATAAAACTACAAGTAAAAGGATTCAGCAAGGCGAGGATACTAGCAGAGATTGTGCATAACGCTGTTTCGTAAACCCACTTAGGCTGACGGCCTAAGTATCCAAGGATATAAGTATAGGTTATATAAAAAAAAAAAAAAAAAATATTATTAAATGTTACATGAATTGTACTTAATAAACCCTATGAGATGGTTGATGCGAAGGGGTTTCCTTCCTCAGCTGCCTGATGTCCAGGTAGAGGGTGGTCTCTGGAATGG